CGGTACTAATACTTCACATGATTTTGATTCCATGCTTCTGCTTATACAACCAAGGATTGTATTAGCTTTTTTGGCTACTGCTGCACACTGCTGGTTCATGTTTGTGACCGTCCACTAGGACTCCAAGATTCCTCTCACAGTTACTGTTTTTGAGCCTGGTTTCACCTACTCTGTACTTGTACCTTTGGTGTTTTTGTTGACATTTTGGTTTTTTTTTTTTTTGGCATTAGATCATTTCATACCGTGGGCATTGTTCTTAGGCTACTGCTGCTCTTATATCTTTATACCAGTAGTAAACAGTGTTGGGATTTATATCATGCTACAATGATATCAGTTTGTAAATGTTTAGGATTTTGTGAGCATCCTTGGAAAGAGCAACTTTGAAAGACAACTTTATCCTGAATAAATAAGAGTAGAGGGCAATCAAAAGAGGGATAAATATAGTCATAGAGGGGGGTGGAATCAATTAGTGACTTCTTTTTGTAATGACTATATAAAACCTCCAGGATTAGAAGTAATGCAATTTCAAATATGGATTGCTGGAGCATAACTGCAGATGGGACCTGTTGCTCCTGCGTCCTGCTTAAACATTACATTGAGAGGGTTCTGATTGGCCCTAATGGAAACATGATGCTCGGATAAAGATGCCTTTGGTCTGATCAAACAGAGCTCTTACGATTCTTTCTCATTTTCTGTCTATCTGCCTCACGGTACTGTAATATAAAGCAGGACTTCAGCCAAAGACGGGAGTGTTCTTCCAACATTTCATTACTATTTTCCCTTTTTTTCTGTTGTTTGCAGGACTGTGACTTAGTCTCTACTCAGACCAAATTTATTAATTGCAAAGAAATCTGCCTATGCTGTCTACGTGATCTGGGCACATCACTAAAAAAACATTTTTGACCTTTTACATTCTTCTCTTCTCCTCTACTGCAGCCTCCCTTATCTTCCCTGCATCCTCTTTCCCTTTCCCTGAACACAGAACAACAACAAGAAGAAGCAGAAAAGCACTCCTTTCCTATGTAAAGGAGGTGCCATTGCACACAGTACTTGTTTCATAACTATTGCTGCTCTATAAGCACATGACAGTGACTACAGAGTTGCTGTGTTTCCTTTGAGAGCACACAAATGCAGAGGGTTATGTGTGAGGGAGAAAGTAGCAAATGTTTGAAAATCACATGTACATGATCATTAACAGCCTTACAGGCTCCAAAGAGTGTTCTTTGTGATAAGAGTACACCTATTTTTTTTTTTTGTTAAATATGTAAGCAAACAGTTCTTGCACAGAAAAGTAAATGTAACAATTAATTGTGGCACCACAACATCATTGTTGGAGCTAGAAAGTAAGCAAGGTTAATACATGAATGAGAAATTTCTAGAAAACTCAGGACCGCAGTCTAAAAAAAAATCTCAGAAAAAGGTTATAATGTTATAATGCTAAGAATGTTATAAATACATGAAAAGTAAATCCTATTTTTCCTCTTGTTTTTATTTCATTCATTAGATTTTATTGCAGACCATAATCATCTGCTACTTAGTACATTCCTTCTAGCTTGCTATCTTTTATTCATGTAAAAGTTTTATGTGCAACTTAACTTATTCTGAAAATAGTCATTTTAACTATGTGAGAGCAATCCCATAGGAATAAATAGGAACTTTCTGCATGGTTTTGCAAATTGTTTTCTAAAAATAGCTCAGTGATTAATCTCTGAAACGTCAATGTTGTTCATGTGACTCAAATGTTTGGATGACTTGATAGAAACAATCATATTTTCCAATCTGTGGGTTATTTCAGTTCCTTATTGTCAAAACAATAGTCCTTGTTTCTACAATAACCCATTTTTAAATTTTCTGTTTAGGCATTTTTAGGCATTGAGCATTCTTGTGCGTCTCTCCCATTTTCTGAAATCTGATTTACTACTTATTTTGATGGGATGCCCGTCCTGTAATATGGAGTTGCAGGGAAGACATCTGAACAAAGTTAAGGTCTTTTAATTAAACAAATACTGATGCTAACCTCAAAGCTAGTTAATGCCATTCCTGGGAAACTTTGGGGAAAAAAGTTGTTTCTGTCCAATTCTGCCATGTGATGTAGGCCGTCTCCACACGATGGTGCTACAGTTATTCTTTACTCTTATTCCCCGTTAATCTGGCCATTCATGCTTTACTAAGGAACAAAACAACCATCTCAACAGACCTGTGATTTCTGACCCTGACATTTAAATAGTATTAAATCATTATACATGGCCACATAAAAAAAAAAAATCTCCTTATCCACATAACAAATACAAGCAGGCTTCCACAGCCCCATAACTGGAAGAAAATTATGTTGTTTTGCTGGAGATCAAACAGGATCAAGCCTGTTTGAATCTTTGGAGAGAGGCTGTTTATGAAGCAGGTAACTTGGGATAGAAAGCACACTTCCTATCTGTCAGCCCTGTGTGGAAACCAAAACAGCTTCACTGAGAACATATCCACTTTGCTTTATTGGACGTATTTTTTTTTTAAAAAAAATTAAAAACCATTTCAGGGCTTTAATTATATGTGCAATATGAGTATGCATTGTTTTTCCAAGATCAACATGGCTATAATTTTGTGTCAAATGAGTGCTCGTATTAGATGTAAAGTCAGAATCCACATAGAATGCATTGCAATGATCAAGCATGTGCCACAAAAGATGTGGTCTAATAATTGCCATCTTTAAGAAGAAGCCATCCTGCTCTCCTTCAGAGTAGCATTCATGTATCAATTAAGGCATCCCCAACAACCCAGTTCATTCTTTCATTTTGCCTCTGACATTTCTAAATTGTGTAGTAATTTTATAAAAAAAAATATAATTACAATAATACTAATACAAACTAGTGTTGGAAGAAATATCCTTCTGGGTTCAGTTCCAAGTGGGGAGAAAGACACTGGAAACATGGAGGTGTTTGGAAAAATGGTTTAATGGTGGACAGGATCACATGCCTTGGAGCTCTTGGGTGAAGAAAAGGAGGGAGATGCTGAGAGTCCCTGGGTTTTATAGCCTCTCTGGCTTTGACCTTCCTGGGGCACAGGAAGAGTATCCTGATTGGTTGCTATCAGAGGTCATAGCTAGTTTTGTAAGTTGTCTGTGTGCAAAGTTTGGTTGAAACTTGGTGGGTGGTGCAATGAAGGTCAATTAAATGGCTCTGCCTGAAGGAGGTAGATCTTTGTTATGTAGAATAGACTGGCCCAGGCCTTAATGGTCCATTAACAAAGGGGGGGGCTGAGTTTCTGCCCCTCTGAGTTTCTACTTCTCTTTTACGGAAAATATTCTGCCTTTCTAGTATATCCTAAAATATTTCATTTTTCTAGGAGAGGGATGGGTTTTCACTTCCAAAACTAGAAAAGAAAAGAAAATAAGCACAGAAAATAAAAAAGAGAAAAGCAAGAAAAATAAGATTGGAGAAAAGAAAAAGAAAAGAAAAATATAAAGGAATAACTTTCCCCCTTCCTCACAAACATTAGTGTTTGTAAATCAAATTTAGGTGGTTCTCCTTTAATTGAAATCTTTAATTCTTTCTACTTCCTTTTAGGGTCCAAACTCCAATTTTTCCACTTAATTTTTTTCTAGAAGAATTAAAAAGAAAAGCATTTTTCTGTGGAAAATCTTTTATAATTAGTTCCAAAATCTTATTTCAATTCCATCTGTACCTTTAACTCATTTGTAACTTTTCAAAATCAAAGTTCTAATCACTCTTTTGCTGTTTATTAAAAAAAAAAACTTGTATTGAAAACTTCTTTTGCTAGGTAAGGATTGAAGGAAACTAACCTGGTGATTTTGGACTTGTTGATCCAAATGTTCCTAATAGCAACAAAACAATTAACAAGCAATTTCCAAACATGATTAGAAAAGGAAGTATGTGAACCCAGGGTCCCATTGAAGAGACTGACCATACTTTGAACGAGATGGCTATTCCTTCATCTCCCAAAACTCTAAAACCCATGGGAGACAGCTGTCTTGCAGTCTTTCTATGAAGAGCTACTGTCTGAGCTAGGCACTTATGAGCATTCTCAAGTCCTTTCTTTGTCCAGAGAAGAATTACAAAGAGCCAGTCTACTTATCAGCTCTTCATTCCACTGTGGTGGTCAGTTCCGTTTTTGTGAATCTGTCCTCAGTTTGCCATTTCTTCCCCCTAAGTTCTGGCTTTTCCAGTTTAGGTGTAAGATCCTATTAACAGAGAACTGAGAATTGATAGCATTGAAGAAAAACATTGTAGAATATTTTGCACATCAGTGGCATTTTCAACAGGAGTGCCAAACTCTGAAAGATAGCATACATTCTTCAATGCTATCAATTTTCAGTTTTAGACAAGACCAAATATTAAGTTAATTAGCTTTGTTTTGCCTTTTGTGTGGAATGAGCATAAAGGGACCTATAATAGTTGGGACAGACAGTGATTGTCCTCTTTTTTCCAGGATTTTAATATTGAAACTTTGCAAATACTTCTGAGGACTTGGGAAATGAAAATGGTCAGGAACCTTAAATGGACAGTGATGATGAAGAATATATTCCATCGGTGCGTTGATTAGTAGTTAGCACTACGTGTCATACCTCTTCCCTTTCTCATAGAACTTATTCTCTTCTGCTTCAACTTTCAGAAACAAAATGTCAGGATAAATTGGGATGAAAAGCACAAATAATTCGAACACAATTGTACATATAGTATTTTCAGGAATCCTAACAATATTTCACTCAAGGTATCTTGCAGAGTTCCAAATGGACCCTTGAATTTCTCACGCCTTAGTCAATTGAAGTATTCTCTGTATTTTTTCAAAACTGATTCTAAGTTGATCCAAAGCCACATCCCCATTGAAAGCAATGATGAGGTTATCTAGGTAATTCCTATTTAACTCCAACTTTACATAAAATTAAACATAATGAACTAGCTTAGTTATAAATACAGACACCGGGAGGCATCATTTCAGTCTGTCTCATATGATTTTTCTGTTGTCCATTTTTCAGAAGCATTTAAAAGATGGATGAAAGTCCAGTACCTACTGAACTGCGTACCTCACCTGATAGTGATGATTCAGCAAAGAAAGGCAAAGGCAAAGGCAAAGCTAAAGGATCACCAAAAGAAAAAGGAAGTCCTAAGGGGTCAGCAAAAGAAAAAGGAAGTCCTAAGGGGTCACCAAAAGGAAAAGGAACTGCTAAGGGGTCACCAAAACGAAAAGGAAGTCCTAAGGGATCAGCCAAAGGAAAAGGAAGTCCGAAGGGGTCAGCCAAAGGAAAAGGAAGCCCTAAAGGGTCAGCCAAAGGAAAACCAAAATCTCCTGGTAAGTGTAATATTATATAGAACTAAAGAAAGTTTGTCTTAATCTAAAGATTAACAAAAAAATATTCAAGAATAGATGAATGCAACTAATGCTTTGCCAATGTTTGTGTGTATTTATTCAAATATTTTTGGATATTGATCCTTCCTTCTTCCTTCCTTCCTTTCTCCCTCCCATCCATCCTTTTATTCTCCCTCCCTCCCTCTTTCGCTGGTTACTTTCAGAGGGGGAAGGCAAAAGTCAGAAAGTTAAATGAATGGCTTTAAGACAATCTGCACAGCTGGAATCAGGACACCAACATTTTATGGCAAACCAGACCAGAAACTATAGAGACCAGATCACAGTGGGGACTGGAAATATTGTGACTGGCTCAAGTATAGATTGTTGTTGTTAGTTGCAAAGTTGTGTCCGACCCATCGCGACCCCATGGACAATGTTCCCAAGTGTAGATAAAAACCATTTTAACTGAATCACAGGGAAAGGCCCATAAATTGTTTATTGGGAAAGAATGGATCCGCATGCAGAATGAATATGCTGTACAAGGGTTGGATCCTGAAATTCAGAAATGAAGCTTTTGGAAGGGATCTTTCTTTACTTCCTGTGACCGCAGCAGCTGCTACTAAGACTCAGGATTTACTGGAAAGGAAACTATATCAGGCAGTAAAGAATTGATCCCAGAATATGTAATATGTGTAAGCCAAAAGTATGGTGCTTTTAGTAATTTTGAACCATTCCCTACTCATGTTCCATTCTGCTCATTCTTGAGAAGAGATTGTTCCTGGAGTCAGAAAGTATTTTCCCCTTTGTGTGTGTGTGTGTATGTGTATGTGTGCGCACGCGCACGCACACGCACACACACACACACACACACACACATATTCTTAGTATTCATTATATACATATAATTTTATTACTTTTTGGGAGAAATATACAGCCATGAAAATAGTGGGAGTCAGACAGCAAACAAGGGTAACAAGTCATCATCACATCAAGATACTAGGCTACCTTCTGTGTAAGGAAAACTTAAAATGTTTGGAACTTTTTAGTTGTATGATGGAATGAGGGGGTAGATTGTTCCTGGTCTGGGATTAGAAATTTATAAAATCAAGATTGGAAGAAAGATTCTATTTCCTTTTCTGTCATAATACTCAAACTCATCAAATAAAATTCACTGACAAAATCAAATAATATTTCAGGTCAAAGACAGTACATAAAATACATGGTGATACCCTACTAGTTAAGCCTTGATAGGAATTTCAGCACATTAGCAGAAGATAATCCTCACCAGTAGCCTGCTAGTCCTGATAATTATCATTCATCAAGTGGATTGTACATAGAAATTGAAAACACAAAGCACACCCTACCTGATTCAGAAAACCCCTTTCTCTTATTTCAGTTAAAAAAGAAGAGGAACCTGATCTATCTGTGGCAAGCATGGGTAAGTTAAATACTAAAGAATAAATAAGTAGATAAAGTATGCACAGTTGTGCCAGCCATAAATGAAATGAATAATCAACAAAAATGTCTTCTATAGTCAACCTTAGTGGAGCTAAGCACAAATATCATAAAACTGCTTATCTTTGCCATAACATACAACAACCTAAAATAGCCCAAATAAATCTTGTTTTCACAAGAAGCTATTTATTTTTTAAGTTAATTCCAAAATCTTGCAGTAAAAGTCAATGTTACAAATTTAACTGGATCCTTGTCCCATTTATAATTTTCTTAGATCAAAATCTTATCTGACTTTTTGCTGTTTATTTCAAACTCTTTAAGTTCTTAAGGAGGTGGAGATAATATTTCTGAAGGAATGCAAAATCCATTAAGGAAAGAAAAATTACAACTCAATCCTGAAAAAAAGGATAGTGTCAGAAAGAAACCCCAAATATCTTCACTTTGTTTCCATTTGGTGTAAAAGGGACAGGGGAGAACTCTGGCTATAGTATTCCTGTAATACTAGTTTGGCCTACTTCAAAGGCTTGAAGTTTACTGAGACTGAAGTAACTCAATTGATGGTTTGATATCAAAATGTAGTTTTCTGTAGCCTGAGTCTCAGGACTAAGAGCCTCTTAGTTTAGTCAATATTTTCTAAAGAACATCCTCAGGCAGCTCTAGATTTTTATATGAAAAGAATCATCCAAGGGGAAGACAACATTTAGTTTACATTGAAGTTTATTATTTCCTTAATAACACAGTTACCCCAACACACTCACACTCACACTTCCCTACAATATAAAGTTTTTCTGGAATGTAAAACAAACCTCTTTTTTTTTCTTGGTGATTTACTCTTGTTTTACAATATCAGATGACTGGCCATAATTTCATTTTGATGTAACTTCATTGAAGGCAGGGTCCTACAAAATGTAGGGAAAGAGTATGTTGAGCTTATTGAGAAGTACACTATCATTTTAGAAAGTTTGTGACATCGTGGAACTTTGGAGTAAATACAGTAGGCACTCTCTTTCTCTGTCTCTTACACGCGCGCACACACACACATTCATTGAAGAAAATTTTGTATTTTTTTCAGGCCACCCAGAAATATTTCCCTTGGTCCTCACTGAAAAAACACAAGAAATATTTAATTGCTCTGCTGATGTAGATGTAACAGCTGAAAATCCTTACAAGCTCATTAAAAAGGAAGATATTATTAATGATATGAAGACAAGAGCTGCAATTTCTGACTTCCACCCTATCAAAAAAGTTATACTAGTAAGTTACCCTTCAAGGCATGCTGTAAGTGCAATTCTCCGTTGAAACTGGATGTGCTTGTCTATATTAGTTATCCTAGATGGCATTGGATTGGGTTTTTTGAGATCCTTGGATTAGAAATGGTCAGCCTAAATGTGTTGGTTAAAAAAACCACACCATATTGCAGAAGAGGATATATATCTCTGTTAATGCATGTGAAAAATATAAATTCAAAAGCCAAAAATGGTGGACTATTAAAACAATGGGTAGCAACTGACATAGGGTTGAGTTATAAATTCAGTCTCTCACCCTGTTCTCTTTTCTCAGTTCTATTTGGCTCATATTTTTTCTAATTACAAAAATCCACTTATCTATATTCATACAGGATTATCCTGGCGAAGAACTCCTGCTAGTCTTTGACAGAGAATTAAAATATGGACAACTCTTTCATCTTATTGCAACCGAAGAAGCTAAGGAAAACCTTTTAAATGTAAGAGATTGTTCAGTTATTTGGTATGTGCATGATATAGAGCCGTGATGGTGAACCTATGGCATGCGTGCTGGAAGTGGCCCAAGAGGTCACCCAGAAGAGCCCCACTGCACATGCGTGCCCACTGCCTGCCGAACAGCTAATTGTCGGGTATCTGGCATGCATGGCTTGAGTGCGCAGGAAATACACGCACATGTGCAGAGATGGCAGCGTGTGTGGGGGGTCATGTGCGCATGTGTAGTGGGCATGGGGGGATCCTCACGCATTGCCTTCTGAGTGCTGGCACGCAAGTGCGTGAGTGTGAGCACGTGCACAATTTTCGGCACAGGATCCCGAAAAGGTTAGCCACCACTGATATAGAGGGTAAAAATAGTCTTCTGAATAGAGAATAATATAATTGTCTTTACCTTTATTTATTTTTTTAAATCAATAAGTTAAATGTTAACACCCTTACTACTTTCCTCTCCATAGCCACCAGAGCCAGAGGAAGAGGAAGAAGTGAAAGAAGGGGTGCCTGAAGAAGTTTATAAACCTCCTGTGTGGAAACCTTGGGTTTCACTTGGAAGTGAAAAGGAAATTGAAGAAGAATCAGTCAGGGAATCAATAAGGAGGGTGAGAAGACTTAATTTTATTAAGCAAAATCTAAGGGAGTAACCTTGTAATACTCTGTAGAAGTAGATTCTAGCTGCAGTGGTACTTTGGTACTCAACTGCTTAGAAACTCGTCAAATTTGGTCGTCAATACATTTTGACATGAAAATTTTGTCCCTCATCAATTGTTAGTTTATTATAACTTATTAGTATTAGGAGCCTCTGTGGCGCAGTGGTTAGAGTGCAGTACTGCAAGCTACTCCTACTGCAATTTGGCAGATCAAATCCCACCAGGCTCAAGGTTGACTCAGCCTTCCATCCTTCCGAGGTGGGTAAAATGAGGACCCAAATTGTTGGGGGCAAAAGGTAAACCGCTTTGAGAGGGCGGTTTAGCACTATGTAAAGCACTATAAAGCGGTATATAAGTCTAAGTGCTATTGCTATTACCTGCCTACATTATTCCTTCTGGGAAAAATTTGGTACTCATTGTGCCTCCCAGAACCAATTAGCGATGAGTACTGAGGTGCCACTGTATTTATGAGAAAGCTTAATGAGCCTCTTGAACATTTCAACATGTTGGTTCCATAACAAACAAACTTTGAGGAAACTGGGAGAAAAGTCTATATGCATTTTTATCTACATTTGCATATTCCATTTTCTTTCTTTCTTTCTTTCTTTCTTTCTTTCTTTCTTTCTTTCTTT